CAGCACTTTGAGGGGGATTTTTACTCCCAAAGACTGGGCTGTGGCACAGCTAGTTAGTAGTCAGCTGCATTAAATCACTACTGACCAAGAGGTCGTGAGTTCAAAGCCAGCCCGGGTCGGAGTAAGCTCCCGACCATTAATAGTCTAGCTTACTGTTGACCTATGCAGCCCGAAAGACAGTTGCATCTGTCAAGTAAGGAGACCCCAATGGCGCAGTGGGTTAAACCCTTGTGCTGGCAGGACTGAAAATTGACATGTCACAGGCTCGAATCCGGGGAGAGTGCAGATGAGCTCCCTTTGTCAGCTCCAGCTTCTTGTGTGGGGACATGACAGAAGCCTCCCACAAGGATGGTAAAACATCAAAATATCCAGGCAACATCCCCTGGGCAATGTCCTTACAGACAGCCAATTCTCTCACACCAGAAGCAACTTGCAGTTTCTCAAGTTGCTCCTGACATTAAAAAAGAAATCTGTCAAGTAGGAAATTTAGGTAATTTTCAACAGAAAGGAGGAAACCATGAAAATGAACAAAATCTGGCTACCAATATTAAGAAATTCTAAAATTGCAACAGCACAACAACAGAGAGGAAGCAGGCAGGGACATCTAATCACCTCTCAACAAAAGTTTGCTCCAGGCACAGTCAGCCCATTGTATGTATTGTCGAAGGCTTTCATGGCTGGAATCACTAGGTTCTTGTGGGTTTTTTCGGGCTATAGGGCCATGTTCTAGAGGCATTTCTCCTGACGTTTCGCCTGCATCTATGGCAAGCATCCTCAGAGGTAGTGAGGTCACTACCTCTGAGGATGCTTGCCACCTCACTACCTCTGAGGATGCTTGCCATAGATGTAGGCGAAACGTCAGAAGAAATGCCTCTAGAACATGGCCCTATAGCCCGAAAAAACCCACAAGAACCTAGCCCATTGTATGCTAATCAAGGTGGTCATTCACACCTAGCTCCAGCAGAAAAGAGTTCTTTGTCTCACCCTGGTCATTCCACAGATATATAAACCCCTTTTCCTAGTTCCAACAAATCTCACTACCTCTGAGAATGCTTGCCATAGATGCAGGCAAAACGTCAGGAGAGAATGCCTCTAGACCATGGCCATACAGCCCGAAAAAAAACCTACAACAACCCAATTTAGGTACCAGTTTATGTGGGGGAGGCTAATTTAACTGATTTACGACACCATAAAACTTTCCAGTAGCATGCAGAAGAATGAGGAAGCACTCCATCAAAAAACCCGGTGTCCCAAGTGGACGGTAAAGCGGCAGCTCCCACTGTGGCCGGAACCAAGCATACCCTCATGAAGCCGGAAAAGCGGGAATGTTAAATTGCCTCTGTGTCTGTCTATATATGTTGTATGTCTAAATGGCATTGAATGTTTGCCATGTATATGTGCATTGCAATTTGCCCTGAGTCTCCTGCGGGATCAGAAGGGTGGAATATAAATACTGTAAATAAAAATAATAAAATAATAAATAAATTATGTTTATATTTCCAAAAACTCCAGAATTGGTTTTTTTTGGTTGTGTCAGGAGCGACTTGAGAAACTGCAAGTCACTTCTGGTGTGAGAGAATTATTAATAGCCCTCACTCTCCAAAGAGAAGGATGTTTGGGATCCTTTCCATTATTACTGATGACTTAAACCTCTCATCTTTGTAGATTTTAAAATTACTGAAATGCTTTCAAAGTTGCTTTGAGTCTCCTTGTGGAGAGAAAAAGTGGAGCAGGAATAAACAACAACCTCTGAGCATACCACAGCTGGACAATATCAAGCACGGACATGTGAAAAATGTGGTCAGCAAAGAATATGTCCAAAGGGCCAGAAAAATTCTGAAGAGCAAATTAAATGGCGGAAATACAATCAAGGCTATCAGCACCTGGGCCATCCCCGTCATCAGATACACGGTTGGAATTGTGAAGTGGACACAAGCAAAACTGGAGGATCTGGACAGAAAAACAAGGCAACTGGTGACAATCCACTACTCATGACACCCGCGTAGTGATGTCGACAGACTTTACCTGCCAGAGCCCCCGGTTGTGCAGTGGGTTAAATCCTTGTTCCAGCAGGACTGCAGACTGACAGGTCGCAGGTTCGAATCCGGGGAGAGTGAGGATGAGCTCCCTCTGTCAGCTCCAGCTCTCCACATGGGGACATGAGAGAAGCCTCTCACAAGGAGGGTAAAACTTCAAAACATCCGGGCGTTCCCTGGGCAACATCTTTGCAGACGGCCAATTCTCTCACACCAGAAGCGACTTGCAGTTTCTCAAGTTGCTCCTGACACGAAAAAAAAACCAAACAATTTTACCTGCCGAGAAAATCAGGAGGCAGAGAGAGGGCTTCTGCAAGTGAAACAAATGGTAGAAGAAGAGAAACACGCACTGGCAGATGTTGGGAAAGGCAGTCAAGAACCAACATTGAGGGAAGTCAATAGTCAAAAAATGGCTTAAAGTACAAAAGACAAAGATGGAATATTGTAACAATACTATGACTTCCTATCACTTATTGATACGCGGCTATCATGTCTCCTCTTACCCTTCTCTTCTTCATATAATGAATTCATTATATGCATACATAAATACTATGTCTCAATATTAAAATACACTGTTTAACTTCCTTCCTCCCTTCCTTTTCTTCCCTGTTTCATGTCTGGAATACCTCTGTTTTCTGAGGGCCACAGCAACCCGCGGCCAGGTACAGCTAGTGGGTTTATGAACAAGCACCTTGGTATCTCTATGGATGTCCTGATTCTCAAACACTCTCTGCTTCATTCGGAAGAATGCTGCACTCGCAGAGCTCAGGCGGTGTTGTGTTTCAGTGCCAATTTTGACTCTTGTGGAGAGGTGGTTGCCAAGGGAGCGGAAATTGTCAATATTTTCTAACTAGACCAGGCTGTGGCGCAGCTAGTTAGTAGCTGCTGCATGAAATCACTACCAAGAGGTCATGAGTCTGAAGCATGTGCAAGATAAAAACTTAAGATACTAAAAATACTAAAATCAAGATGAGATAGGGATGGAGCAGATTGCTTGTGGGGGGAGAATCTCGTAAAGAGGAGATTCCATCTGAACACGAGGAAGAACTTCCTGACTGTGAGAGCCGTTCAGCAGTGGAACTCTCTGCCCCGGAGTGTGGTGGAGGCTCCTTCTTTGGAAGCTTTTAAATAGAGGCTGGACACCTCTGCAGGAGTCTACCGTATACCATGCAGCTGTGGACAAGTCTACATAGGGACCACCAAACGCAGCGCCCAAACACGAATCAAGGAACATGAAAGGCACTGCAGACTACTCCAACCAGAGAAGTCAGCCATAGCAGAGCACCTGATGAACCAGCCTGGACACAGCATATTATTTGAGAACACAGAAATGCTGGACAACTCCAACAACCACCATGTCAGACTACACAGAGAAGCCATTGAAATCCACAAGCATGTGGACAATTTCAACAGAAAGGAGGAGAGACCATGAAAATGAACAAAATCTGGCTACCAGTATTAAAAAACTCAAAAATTACAACAGCAAAACAGCAGAGAGGAAACAACCAGGCACATCTTAACACCTCTCAACAAAAGATTTTCCCAGGCTCAGCCAGGCCTTCAAATGCTAATGAAGGTGGTCAGTTGAAACATTCACACCTAGCTCCAGCAGAGAAGAGCTCTTTGCCCCACCCCAGCCATTCCACAGATATATAAACCCATTTTCCTATTTCCAACAGACCTCACTACCTCTGAGGATGCTTGCCATAGATGCAGGCGAAACGTCAGGAGAAATGCCTCTAGAACATGGCCATATAGCCCGAAAAAACCTACAAGAACCTAGTGATTCCAGCCATGAAAGCCTTCGACAATACCTTAATAATAATAATAATAATAGTAGTAGCTGCTGCATGAAATCACTATCAAGAGGTCATGAGTCTGAAGCATGTGCAAGATAAAAACTTAAGATACTAAAAATACTAAAATCAGGATGAGATAGGGATGGAGCAGATTGTTTGTGGGGGAGAATCTCGTAAAGAGGAGATTCCATCTGAACACGAGGAAGAACTTCTTGACTGTGAGAGCCGTTCAGCAGTGGAACTCTCTGCCCCGGAGTGTGGTGGAGGCTCCTTCTTTGGAAGCTTTTAAACAGAGGCTGGATGGCCATCTGTCAAGTGTGCTTTGAATGCAATTCTCCTGCTTCTTGGCAGAATGGGGTTGGACCGGATGGCCCATGAGGTCTCTTCCAACTTTATGATTCTATGATTCTACAATACACATTTTCACTATTGTTCTGGGAGTTGGAGTCCAAAACACCTGGAGGGTTGAAGTTTGCCCATATCTGGTATAGCCACAGGGGTGATTTGAATGCAATATTCCTGCTTCTTGGCAGAATGGGGTTGGACTCGATGGTCCATGAGGGAATTGTAGTTGCTGGGATTTATAGTTCACCTACAATCACGGAGAATTTCGTACCCCACCAACGATGGAATTGGGCCAAACATCCCACACAGAACCCCCATGACCAACAGAAAATACTGTTTTTTCCGGTGGTCTTTGTTGACCCTTCTGACACCCCCCTGGTGACCCCCTCCCCACGGGGTCTTGACTTCTCAGGTTGAGAAACAGAGGCTGGATGGCCATCTGTCAGGGGTGATTTGAATACAATATTCCTGCTTCTTGGCAGAATGGGGTTGGACTGGATGGCCCATGAGGTCTCTTCCAACTCTATGATTCTAAAGGAATGGGGTCATAAATATACAGGTGGGGAAATATACTCTGGGGACAACTAAATAAACAAACAATGTCACACCATTAAACGGCATTTCTGGCATTGCAGAGGGATTCGCGGATACCGAAACCCGCGGATGCTCGGGTCCCATTGCATGCCTACCATGTTTACGCCTGGCTTTTTCCAAACTAAGACTGTATAATAATACTCTATCCCAGTGCCAAAGGGCTGGCGTTTGCAAAGAAGGGCAAGGAGGAAGGGAGAGGTCTTTTGGGGCTTGGAAGGGCCAAGGGGCAGGAGGGCAGGCAGGCAGGCAGGCGGTGGGTCCTGGGGCGCCAGGCTTGCGTGCGAACGGGGCGAGCGATGATGTCAGAGGGGGAGGCAGCCGAAGCGAAGGCGGCGAGAGGAGCAGCAGCAGCAGCAGAGGCAAAGCCCAGAGCCGCCGCCAAGGCAGCCAAAGCAGCAGCAGAAGCCAAGGCGGCGAGGCTGGGCTGAGGAAGCGCCATCGTGGAGCAGAGGCAGAAACGGCCCGTGCCAAGCCGGCTGCGAGCATGAATGGCCGGGCAGGAAGGAGCCTCCATCTTGGGCCGCCCCCTGACCAAACCCCACAGGTAAGGAGCCCCCCACGCCTCCCCAAAAAGCCTCCAAACGCGCTCTCCAAAACAGGGCGCTTGCTTTGACGCACGGCGCTTTTGCCTGCGTGCCCCCTTTTTGCGCGCGGCCTGGGCGCCCCCCTTTGGCTCTGCCCGCCACCAAACCCATGCCTCCCCCTTCCTTGGGGTCCCCTCTGCGTGCCCCTTTTCCTCCCGACCCCCAAAGAGGCGTCCCGGAGGAAGGAGAGGAAGAGAAACAAGGTCCCCCCTTCTCGGTGCCAAAAGCGCACCGCCCTCCTCCTCCTCCTCCTCCTCTTCCTGCTGCTGCTTCTTCTTATGGCAGCTTGGAAATGCAGCTGCGTATTTGGGGCCCAGTGGCCCCCGGAGCCAGGAGAAGCGCTTAAGGTGAAGCCCAAGGGAAGTGGGGTCAAGGGGAGAGAGAGAGAGACCACGACCCACGGAAAGGGAAAGTATGGGGCAGCCCCACCGGGAGCAGAAGTCCCTCTCCTCTTTGGAAAGAAGGAAGGAAGGAAGGAAGGCGCCAAGGGTGGGGCTGTTGGGGAGCGGATCTGGAAATCTCTGGGGTCTTGGGAAAGAATCTCTCCTGGGATCCAGGAAGGGAAGCCAAGCCTCCTTCCTGTGGGGCAAGTTGGGGTTACTAGAGTTCATCCCAAGGGGCCCCAGAGCCTGTGTGTTGTCTCTGTGTTTGTGGCCCTTGCCATGCATTCCCTCCTGCGCCTGCTTTTGGATGCTCGCTCTTGGAGAGCTCCCTCCTCCTCCTCTCCTGGAAGGCAGGACTGATGATTAATCACTTTTTCAAACATCGGTTGAAACCCCCTTTTCCCTCGCTCATTCCTTTCCCCAAAAATATAGTTTTTCTCAAAACCAGGACTAGAGCCTTGGGTTACTTTTTGTTTTTGTTTTGTGTGTTTGTGAACATTCTCTTCCAAACAGTCTGCACTCAAAAACACTAAATGGTGTTGTCGAAGGCGTTCGTGGCTGGAATCACTGGGTTGCGCAGTGGGTTAAACCCCTGAAGACCGACAGATCGCAGGTTTAAATCTGGGGAGAGGCGGATGAGCTCCCTCTGTCAGCTCCAGCTCCTCATAGAATCATAGAATCATAGAATCAAAGAGTTGGAAGAGACCTCCTAGACCATCCAGTCCAACCCCATTCTGCCAAGAAGCAGTGACTGGGTGCATAACCTTTGTTGAAAAGGAACAGACCTGAGGCTGTTAGGAATTGTGGGAGTTGAACTCCACAACTGGGCCCATAACCCTTGTTGAAAAGAAAGGGGACCGAGGCTGTTAGGAATTGTGGGAGTTGAAGTCCAATACACCTGAAGGGCAGAGTTGGCCTGTGCCTGGCGCAGATGCACCTTGAAATTGTTGCTGACACAACCCTTAGAATCATAGAATCATAGAATCAAAGAGTTGGAAGAGACCTCCTGGGCCATCCAGTCCAACCCCATTCTGCCAAGAAGCAGGAATACTGCATTCAAATCACCCCTGACAGATGGCCATCCAGCCTCTGTTTAAAAGCTTCCAAAGAAGGAGCCTCCACCACACTCCGGGGCTGACAGTTCCACTGCTGAACGGCTCTCACAGTCAGGAGCTAACAGAGGGAGCTCATCCGCCTCTCCCTGGATTCGAACCTGTGACCTGTCGGTTTTCAGTCCTGCCGGCACTGTGCCACCGGGGGCTCCACAAGGATGATAAAAACATCAAATCATCTGGGCGTCCCCTGGGCAACGTCCTTGCAGATGGCCAATTCTCTCACACTAGAAGCGACTTGCAGTTTCTCAAGTCGCTCCTGACATGACAAAAAAAACTGGGTCAGGAAGTTCTTCCTCATGTTCAGATGGAATCTCCTCTCTTGTAGTTCGAAGCCATTGTTCCATTGCGTCCTAGTCTCCAGGGAAGCAGAAAACAAGCTTGCTCCCTCCTCCTCCCTGTGGCTTCCTCTCACATATTTATACATGGCTATCATATCCCCTCTCAGCCTTCTCTTCTTCAGGCTAAACATGCCCAGCTCCTTAAGCCCCTCCTCATAGGACTTGTTCTCCAGAGCCTTTATCATTTGTAGGGACATGAGAGAAGCCTCCCACAAGGATGCTTTTTGTCGTGTCAGGAGCGACTTGAGAAACTGCAAGTCGCTTCTGGTGTGAGAGAATTGGCCATCTGCAAGGACGTTGCCCAGGGGACGCCTGGATGTTTTGATGTTTTACCATCCTTGTGGGAGGCTTCTCTCATGTCCTCGCACGAGGAGCTGGAGCTGACAGATGGAGCTCATCCGCCTCTCCCCAGATTCGAACCTGCGACCTGTCGGTCTTTAGTCCTGCCGGCACTGCGCCACCAGGGGCTCCACAAAGATGATAAAAACATCAAATCATTCGGGCATCCCCTGGGCAATGTCCTTGCAAACGGCCAATTCTCTCACACCAGAAGCGACTTTCTCAAGTCGCTCCTGACACAACAAAAAACAACAACTGGGTTGCTGTGAGTTTTCCGGGCTGTATGGCTATGTTCCAGAAGCATTCTCTCCTGGTTTCACCTACATCTATGGCAGGCATTCTCAGAGCTCATGAGGTCTGGGTTGTAAGTTTTCTGTGCTTTATGGCCATGTTCCAGAAGCATTCTCTCCTGACATTTCACCCACATCTATGGCAGGCATCCTAAGAGCTCATCAGGCCTGGGTTGTTGTAAGTTTTCCGTGCTTTGTGGCCATGTTCCAGAAGCATTCTCTTCTGACATTTTGCCTGCACCTATGCCAGGCATCCTCAGAGGTTTTGAGGACCTCACAACCTCTGAGGATGCCTGCCATAGATGCAGGTGAAATATCTGGAGAGAATGCTTCTGGAACATGGTCAGACAGCCCGGAAAACTCACAACAACACAGTGATTCCAGCCAAGAAAGCCTTCAACAATATGTTCTGCGGTCTATTGGAAACTAGGCAAGGAGGGAACCATGAAAGTTAACAAAATCTGGCTACCAGCATTAAAAAATCTGTAAAATTAGGACAGCAAATAAACAACAACACTCTGAAAACAGGGGAAATTCAGACAGGAAACAATCAGGGCCAGCTAACACCTCCCAAAAAGATGAGTCCCCCAGGCAGGAAGCAGCCAGGCCTTAAAGCTGCAAGGCTTTTCAATGCTAATCAAGGTGATTAATTGAAAATATATTGTCGAAGGCTTTAATGGCCGGGATCACTGAGTTGTTGTGCATTTTCCGGGCTGTATGGCCGTGTTCCAGACGCATTCTCTCCTGACATTTCACTCACATCTATGGCAGGCATCCTCAGAGGTTGTGAGGTCTGTTGGAAACTTGCAAAATTGGAAACTAAGAAACTCTTTGTCTATTGGGTTGTTGTAGGTTTTTTCAGGCTGTATGGCCATGGTCTAGAGGCATTCTCTCCTGACATTTCGCCTGCATCTATGGCAAGCATCCTCAGAGGTGGTTTGTCTATTTCTTGTTTCCAGGCAACAAATAATCATGGCTAGATAATCACCTCCCAACCAAGGATTTCCCAAGGCAGTAAGAAGCCAAACTTTGAAACTGCCAGGCCATTAAATGCCAATCAAGGTGACCAATTGCAACATTCACTCCTACCTCAAACAGACAAGAGTTCTTTCTCCCACCTTGGACATCATCCCACAGGTATATAAACCCCATTTTCCTAGTTTCCAACAGACCTCACAACCTCTGAGGATGCCTGCCATAGATTTGGGCAAAAGGTCAGGAGAGAATGCTTCTGGAACATGGTCAGACAGCTTGGAAAACTCACAGTGACCCAAAAATACTAAATTGTATCAGTGGTTTTTAAAAACGTTACAGTAAATGAAACAGTAAAAAACTCTAAAATTACAACAGCACAACAACAGAGAGGAAACAAACAAGGACATCTAATCAACTCTCAACAAAAGTTTGCTCCAGGCACTGTCAGGCCATTATGTGCTAATCAAGGTGGTCAGTTCAAACATTCACACCTAGCTCCAACAGACAAGAGGCCTTTGTCTCACCCTGGTCATTCCACAGATATATAAACACTTTTTCCTAGTTCCAACAGACCTCACAACCTCTGAGGATGCTTGCCATAGATGCAGGCGAAACGTCAGGAGAGAATGCCTCTAGACCATGGCCATATAGCCCGAAAAAACCTACAACAACCCTAATGAAACAGTTCATCAATTAGATATTTTAAACTCCTTCGAACACTTTCAGATGTTGTCCTGTGTGGCCCCTGAGGGTCCCAAGGCAGGAAATTGGTCATCTCTGAAATAGATGGAAGGAAGTCCAAGAACCGAGCCCTGAGTGATGTAGTTCTCTGGATTCTGTCTTACCTGGAAGGAATCCCCCTCTAAAATGTCTATGGCAGGAGGTTTGAGGGGCAGAGCCCTTTTCTGTTCCTCCAACCCAAAAATAGATCACCTTCCTGGGAATTTTAGTGCAGTGTTTCTCAACCTTCCTCATGCCGCGACCCCTTAATACAGTTCCTCATGTTGTGGTGACCCCCAACCATAACATTATTTTCGTTGCTACTTCACAACTGTAATTTTGCTCCAGTTATGAATCGCAATGTAAACATCTGATATGCAGGATGAATTTTCATTCACTGGACCAAATTTGGCACAAATACCCAATATTTGAATACTGGTGGGGTTGGAGGGGGATTGATTTTGTCATTTCGGAGTTGTTGTTGCTGGGATTTATAGTTCACCCACAATCAAAGAGCATTCTGAACTCCACCAATGATCGAATTGAACCAAACTCGGCACGCAGAACTCCCATGACCAAGAAAAAATGCTGGAAGGGTTTGGTGGGCATTGACCTTGAGTTTGGGAGTTGCAGTTCACCTACATCCAGAGAGTACTGTGAGTTCAAACAATGATGGATCTGGACCAAACTTGGCATGGATATCCAATATGCCCAAATCTGAACACTGGTGGACTTTGCGGGGAAACAGACCTTGAGATTTGGGAGTTCTAGTTGCTGGGATTTATAGCTCACCTACAATC